TGCAAGTGTAACGTGGTGCCTCCCCTCGTCTACATGTGGGACAAGGTGTGGTGTAATCTGTTCGGGCCCGGGACATTCCCTTTGTTCTGCTCCGCCAGGGGGAAAACGCGGGAAGTGGGGCCAAACTAAATGGGGGACGGGCTAACTGGGGACTTGCTCTTGGGGGACGTGCTGCACCCGACTTGCAACTTGGGGGACGTGCTGCATGGGGACGTTCTACGTGGGACACGTGCTACGTGGGGCACGTGCTGCATGGGGACGTGCTACGTGAAGGACGTGCTCTGTGAGGGGACGTGCTGCGTGGGAACGTGCTACGTGAAAGACGTACTCTGTTGAGGGGACGTGCTGCATGGGGACGTGTACGTGGGGGACGTGCTGCGTGGGAACGTGCTACGTGAAGGACGTGCTCTGTGAGGGGACGTGCTACGTGGGGGAGGAGCACAGGCCGCCCCCTCGCCGCCCGGGTCAGACGCACTGCTGTGGGCTGTGCGGGCCGCCCTCGCCACGCGGTGCCGGGACAGCGTGGGTGACCCGTGGTGGCCGCGACGATGGAGCGGAGGTGGCGGTGGGACCCTCCGACCTTCGCTCTGAGTTGGGGACGCGTGGGAACTACAGAGGCGCTGACACGCAGGCCTGGCGTCTGCATAGAGACGGAGGGAGCAGGGCCTGGGGCAGCGGCGCGTGTGACCAGCCCGTGCCGGTGGGGAGCGGGGCCTTTCCCAGCGAAGTTTCACGGGGGGGAGGGGGGAGTCCCTTCCCGCCGCAGCTCTCACACTCCCCGTCCTGCTGTCTGCCCGGAGGCCAGCGTGGCCCCGCGTGTTCCCCAGCGGGACGGCCGTGGCGGTGGTCGCGGTCGGACGGAAGGTGAGCGCCGCTCCTCGTTCCCTTTCAGAAAGGCTTCACCCCGCTGCACGTGGCCGCCAAGTATGGCAGCCTGGATGTGGCCAAGCTGCTGCTGCACCGGCGGGTGGCGGCCAACTCCGCGGGGAAGGTACGCCCCTGTCCCCCACCCCACGGCCACGCGGCGCCCAGTGGTCCCAGAGGGTGGAGACCTGCGAGCGCGGCCCTCCCGGTGGGTTATGTCCCGGTGGGCGGGCCCTGGAGGGAAGCCCGCGGGCAGCTGTGCCCTGGCCCCTGGGCTCCCGCTGCTGGTGGGAACCGATGCGCTCGGACGGGCCCGGCGCCCCGCCCCGGTCACTCGCTCATCGGTACCCCCACCCCCCGCCCTTGCAGAACGGCCTGACCCCACTGCACGTGGCCGCCCACTATGACCACCAGGACGTGGCCGTGCTGCTGCTGGAGCGAGGCGCGTCCCCGCACGCCACGGCCAAGGTGAGGCGCGGGGCTGCCTGCCGCCGGGACCCCAGGCCGGGGCGGGGTTGGAACCCGGGGTGACATCGCCAGCCCGTCCTGGGGGGGCTTCTGAGTGAGGAAGGTGTGCAAATGCTGCCCAGCACGTGGGCAGAAGGTGGGAACAGGACCCTGCAGTAACGCCACGCGGTTCTGCTGGTAGTGCATGTGTGTGTCTGTGCGTGTGTGCGTGTGTATGCATGTGTGCATGTGTGTGTCTGTGTGAGCGTGTGTCTGTGTGCATGTGCATGCATGTGTGTATATGCGTGTGTGCATGCGTGTGTGCGTGCTCCTGGGTCCCACAGGCGGGTCCAAGGGCGGCCTGACTGGCTGGTCCAGGACGGCCCCCGAGTGCATAGGCTTGGAAACTGGGTCCTGCCAAGGAGGCTGAGGTGGAAGGACTGGCCTGGGGGGAGGAGAGCAGGGAGGCCTGGACCCTCGGGTGTTAGGGGAGGGCATGCACAAGGCACCGGCCCCCCTCAGGCTGCTCTTCAGGAGGGACCGTGTCCGAGGGCGGGTTTGGAGGTTTGGGGCTCCCGTGTCCCTCCCTCTGCCCTGCGGTGCCCTGCGACACCGCTTCAGAGACTCCGGTGTTGGGTGGAGACTTGCATTCCAGAGACGTGCGTCCCCCGGGGCAGCGGCTGAGCTCACCCCGTGCCTCTCACTCTTTGCAGAACGGCTACACTCCCCTGCACATCGCCGCCAAGAAGAACCAGACGCAGTTCGCGTCCACGCTCCTCAGCTACGGGGCCGTGACCAACGTGGTGACGAAGCAGGGCGTGACCCCGCTGCACCTGGCCTCCCAGGAGGGGCACTCGGACATGGTCACCTCGCTCCTGGACAAGGGCGCCGACGTCCACACGTCGACCAAGGTATTCTGCTTTGTCTCTGGGTTCGGCCATGAGCTTTGGGATGAGAGTACGGAGAAGCCGTCGGTGCGGACATGGACAGAACGAGGGGTTGTAAGGGAGGCGGGCCTGTGACGGATTCCAGGGCAGCTGAGGACTGGCTGCGGGCCAGGAAACCACAGAGCCAGGACAGGCGCACAGATTGTGGTGCGTCCGTTACAGTTCGCCCCTCTGGGAGCTGCCTTCTGTGCCTCTCTGAGTGTGCGGTCACTCCCAGAGGCCCAGGGCTCGGGGCCGTCGTCCACGCTCTGTCCTGCCTGCTCGTTCTGTCTGCAGTCCTGACTCCAAAGCCTGGAGGAAGGTGGCAGCCATCTGGGGGCCGTCTGCCTGCTGGTCCATGCCCACTGCCCATGTCACTCTCCAGCCCTGAGCCTCAGGAGCTCTGTGCACGGGGGCAGGGACACCATGGAACGCAGGTCCTGAGCCCCCT